CCGGCGACCTGCGCCCGGGGCCCTGCGGGTCCGTGTCGCGGCCTGGCGCCGCCGCCGCGTCCGCTGCTCGGGCGCTGCCCGGTTTCCCGCTGCGAAATGGGGCTGAAATGGGGATACAACAGCACAGCCTTGCAAGTGCTCGTGCCTCTGRGTAGTTCTATGTGCTAGTCAAGTGTGAGCCTAATGGTCTGCGCCTAGGGCTGTTCTACATTCTTGAAATCAAGTAGTTGCTTATGTTATCTCTTAAGTGAATGYATGAACCTTAATGAACCTGTAAGAAAGATTTTGTCTTGTTAAATTTCTGTGCCTATCACTTAATGTGCAGAGATGCCAGATGAGAGTTTAAAAAATGAATTTCTGTGGATCCTGTTTCAGATAAATAACTGGTTCACATTTCCATTTTTCATAGGAAGAAACAAGAATGTCACAAAAACAGCTGAAAGAAGCCTTTGTCAGTAACTTAAATGGAACTACTTTGCTGGAAATGTCACTAGGCTTTTGTGTAGCTCCACTATGTCTGCTTGGCAGAGGACTTCTGTTGATCTTATATTATCTGCACTATGGGAAACCTTTAAGTTCAAGGAAATACTATTTTCTGCTAGATTTCCTTGTGCTAATATCTCCTCTCCTGTTCTGCTGCACAGTCTTGTCTCCAGTCATCTTTTATATTCCCCCTGTCATTGCAGCCATCTGTGCAGGAATATTTTATAAAATATACAGCCAAAGAAAACATGATAGCAGAGTGTCTTTTAGGCAAACTGTAAATGACTTCCAGAAGACATGYTTAGATGCAGAATACATTCCATCAATAACTCTGTTCCGTGTTTATGTCAATGTGTTGACATCAATCAGTATATTAGCGGTGGATTTCCCACAATATCCAAGACGATATGCCAAAACTGAGACCTATGGAACAGGACTTATGGATTTGGGGGTAGGAGCCTTTGTTTTTGGTAATGCTCTTGTTTGTCCTGAAGTTAGACAAAAATCATGTTCAACCCAACCAAAATTCTCCTTTCTGACCAGGCGTTTTTTTTCCATTTGGCCATTGATTTTTCTCGGTGTGGGACGACTGGTTAGTGTTAAATCTATAGAGTATCATGAACACATATCAGAGTATGGAGTGCACTGGAATTTCTTTTTTACCTTAGCATTTGTGAGACTTGCAGCATCTCTAATTTTGACCAAATTTCCAAAAAGTAAATCTTGGATTGTTGCTCTGAATCTTGCTGTATTTTATCAACTTATTCTTAATACTACCTCTCTGAAGATGTTTGTCTTGCATGGGAGCAATGGCAAAGACACTAGGGTTGGATTTTTAAATGCCAACCGGGAAGGACTGTTGTCTCTCTTTGGATACCTTGCCATATACATGGCTAGTGTGCAGAYTGGACTCTATCTGCTGAAGCACAGAAACTCTGTCAAAGAGTGGATTGAAGCACTGTGTTCTCTAATCCTGATGGTTCTTGTGCTCTTTTTGTTTCTTCATTTGTCACAAGCACACATGGACCCCGTGTCTCGCCGGATGGCCAATCTGCCTTACTGCCTGTGGGTACTTGCTCACTGTCTGACTTTCTTCATCTGTTTTGTAGTGATCGATCTCATGCTGGTCTTTACAAAGCTCCTAGTGAGCGGGGCCAGCGTGCCCTGTTGCTGGAATGTTTTACAGCCTGCGCATTCTGGTAAAAAGCATGACACGGAGACCGTGCCTGTGAAGGGGGAAAGCAAGTCACTGCACATTTGCCTGATCACTGCTATTGATAAAAATCAGCTACTGTTTTTCTTGCTAGCAAATGTTATAACTGGCATTGTAAACATAATGATAGACACAATTCACAGCAAGACTTTATTTACATTAGGTGTGCTGCACTTGTATATGTTTTTTAACTGTGTAATTATGTATATATTGCATGCAAAAAATATAGTATTAAAATTTTGGTGATTTCACTTGTCTTAAGTGGATCAGTTAAGCTTTCTTTGCTGCCCTTGAATGATGGTGTTTTAATGGAAAAATGGGTGTATTTTCCTGTATATATGACTGTGTAGATGAAGTAACGTATAACAGTTTAATTATGGTTTAGCATTACAGTGATTTATGTTTTAGAAAATTATATGTTCAATCCTGTTACCTGTTGGAGGCGAAGCAATCTTTTTAAAAATATAGTTTTTGAGATTGTTTGCTGAATACTCATGCTGCTCCTATAAACAGTTATGCAGACGAGTAACAATTATGACTAGTGAATTCTTTGTGGGTTCAAGAGATATTCATATGCAAGTGCTGGTGTGATTAGGTAATGGTGTATAGAGTAGCAGCAAGATGAAAAGTAAGAAAATGAGTAATTAGAGAGGCTTAGCTGTGTCAAGATTTATCTAGATAAGGTCCTCACATAAATAATAGATAAGAATATTTCTTTATATAAAATGTCTTGAATAAGTGGATACTTACTTAAGAATGTTTTGGCCCTGGTCCTGCAAAGATTTATGCATGTGCTTGACTTTGATGGGAGTATGTGGAATGTTAATCATACACCGAAATCTAAATTAGCCTGTGAATTAAAGCTGAATTTTATTTTCATCCTCAGTGGTGAATATAAATGAAGACCCTTGATAAAGAATGATACTCTGAAGGATAAAACTCAACTGCGGATGAATTCATAAAGCATTTGCTGGAATTTGTGGTGCAGGTAATAAGAGTTTCACAGCCTTTTATAAGAAAATTCAAAGATATAAAATGACCAGCGCTCCTAACTTGCATCCCAGCTTGTTGTGACAGTTCATCTTTTGGAATGCTGTAAGATGTGGGCTTCAGCTCTGCTTTAAAAGCACTCAGGCCCACCTACTGCTCTATAAACTTGTTTTGAATAGTAATTCATTTAGAATCACATTTTGACAGCTGAGATGTCTCCAAGTTGGAACAATCTGTATTAATTTTATTAGCAAACAAACATCATGCAAGTGGAAAGAAGCTCGAGCCGTGGGTCAGGGTACTAGTGAATGCCGACAAGAGCAGTTTCTCCATCTCTCACAGTTCCTGCAAGTGCAGGGTGTTCAGCCCTTCCTGCTCACTTTCATAACTCCATAGTGCATGTAACAGTTCTTCCTGATTTCATTAAGTTGTTGAGAAATATATTAAGGATTGTGAGGAATTCAGAAATGGAATATATAAATACTTAAGAAGTCTAATACAAGTGGTCATTGATGATAAATAGCTGGTGTCAGTGGAGTTACAGCAACACACGTGGGCCAGAAGTTAAAATTTCTTTGTCTATCAAACTTAAAAACTTTTCTTAAAAACTTATCTTCTTATCTTAAAAACTTTTGGAAACTAAGACTTCAAATCAGATTTCAGGGTTTAGCCAATGAAAAGGTGAAGTCAGGATTATGTGCTCAGGCCATGCTAATTTCACACTTGTTTACTTCCGAGTTATAGCCATGTTCTCTTCAGAATTAAAGCAGTCTGTGTTATCTTGGGGACAAATGTAATTAAAAGACGATTGCCACAGTTTGTATCAGAATTTTCTCTGGTAGCTGGTACATTTATATGAAACATAGGCCTTGCCTAAGAAAGAAGGGCCTCCATAATGAACTGAAGGGCACTCCTCATTTATGCAAAATTACTCATGGATATTAATTTTTGAAGTATTTGAAGCACAAGACCTGCAAGGAGTTCTGCCTGCGAGCACAAGTCTATCAATATGATTCAAAATTAAGGCGTTAATTGGGTGTGACAAAGCTGAGTTGTGTCTGGACAAGCAGCAAACTATCTAGACGCCAACTCCATTTTGTGAAGCAAAAATTCCGTGGGAGGTCTGCTGTGTGTGTGCAGAGCCCAGCTCGCTCCGCACGGCTGCGCTCTGCGGACACCCTTCCTGGCTGCAGCTCTCATCGGTGCTAGAGCAGCTGTAACCACAGAGCTCAACAGACGTGCAGGACTGTGCGGTACGGGGTACACGAATGACAACACCTGGCTCATCTCACCAGTGTCACAGTCGCAGCGTGGCAGAACACGGCATAGAGTGGGGCAGCCTCCCACTTTTAAGCCTTATGAGGCAAGTCTTTCATCACTGCATTAATGAGATGATTAATTCTAATTACTTATTGTCAATAACAAACGTGGCAAATTCTGCCCTGAAGCAACTGGCATAGCTGTTAATCCCGAACGTTTGGCCTGTGAATAGTTGCGGATAATTAACCAYGCTTCTGAAAGAACCAAGAAATGCAAGCGAGCACGATTTGATCGCCCGATCCGTGCAAGAAAATGACACTGCATGAGGTTGGGAAGATGCTGGAGAAGTTAACACTGTGATATTGCTATAAACACTTTATCCACATACACATTAATGTACACATACACATTTAACTGTTAGCTTAACAGTTGGTAGGAGCAAAGAAGTTAGCGAGACTAAAATGCAGGTTTATAACGTGCCATTGACTTGAATAGTAAAACTTATCATGGRGATAAGTGTTGCTTTGTCTTTGCTTCACCAAATGATTATGGTATTTTTGTAGGGCTGCAGGACAAGAAAAAATAGGGGAGAGCAGAGCTGATGATGTTTATCCTTTAGCCTGTTATTTGTTAAACACTACTGGTTTCCTCCCAAAGTTATTTTTACGATTGATTCCTAGAGCAGTGTGCCTTCCCTTCCACCCCAGTGATGTCTTTTTCAGACACTTTTTTTTCAGCCAGCACCTTGTTTTGATSCCTCTGTGCCCTGGAGAACAGGTATTTCTTGCAGGGAAAGAGCATGGCACGTGGGCTGGCACGAGCGGGTTGTCTGGGGGATCGCTATGCACACAAAACTGGGGGGTAGTTGTGTTTTTGGTAGAGGTTGGAGGCCCCTCTGCGCCCGCAGGCAGCGTTTCCGAGCCTGTTTGAGGAGGCAGCTCTCTCAGTGACACTGCGCGGTTGAGCACGGAGCTGCGGGAAGGGCGTCCGCGCGTGCGAGCGCAGCCGCTGCCCGGTAGCGCCGGGCAGAGCGGAGCTCGGGGGCGGCGGGGCGCGTTGGTGGGTGCTTTGGAACGGGACCCCCTTCCCGTTCCARTCCCCGCCCCCCCGGGACTATCTGTCGCGGAAGGAGCGCGGCGGCCGTTCGGCCGTTTGTGACCCCGGGGCG